GGGCACCATGAGTGGGCTCTACTTATGAAAAATCATCCACTGAGAACCCTGTGGAGCACAGTTCTACTCTGACACACACGGGGGAACTATGAGTGGATCTACTTATGAAAACTCATCCACTGAGAACCCTGTGGAGCATAGTTTTACTCTGACACACACGGGGACACCATGAGTGGGATCTACTTATGAAAGTTCATCCACTGAGAACCCTGTGAGCACAGTTCTACTCTGACATACACGGGGGCACCATGAGTGGGATCTGCTTATGAAAAATCATCCACTGAGAACCCTGTGGAGTACAGTTCTACTCTGACACACACAGGGTACCATGAGTGGGATCTGCTTATGAAACATCATCCACTGAGAACCCTGTGGAGTACAGTTCTACTCTGACACACATGGGACACCATGCATGGGTAGATCTGTGCCCCACAGGGTTTCAGTGGCTGATTTTTCTTAAGAAGATCTCCAGTGAGTTGTCAGTGAGTTGACTCGAATCTCCCACCTCTCAGTTCGTAGTTATTGTTGCACGGGAACCGACCACTTGGTTTTGACTCACAGCTACTTTATGTCTAACAGAATCAGACATTGCCCTGTCCTCTACCCTCTTCACAATTGTTTCACTTGATCCCATTGGCGAAGCCACTGGGTCAATGGTTGGGCGTCTTCTGCTTCTTCCCTGACCCTGTGTTCTACCAAGCACAATGGCCTTTTCCACAGACTGGCCCCTCCTCTCAGTATATCCAAAGTATGAGAGACCTAGCCTTGCCATTCTAGTTTCTAAGGGACATTCTGACTGTACGTTTTCCAAGACAGATTTGTTTGTTCTTCAGGCGGCCCATGGTATACACAAGATTCTTCATCAGTACCATAATTTAAAGGCATCAATTCTATTACGGTCCTCCTTATTCATTGTCCAACTTTTGCATGGATATGAGGCGTTGAAAGTACCATGGCTTGGGTCAGGCATACCTTAGCGTATAAAGCAACATCTTTGCTCAGTTAATAGTTGGGCCAAACCATTGGCAGCATCCAGGGACCCATCGGGTTCTCATGCCCCTAAAACTTGGAGGTTGGCTGTGGTTTGAATACGTGATCATCCTACCCAGACCCTGAACGTTCCCTAAATACACCGCATGTGGTCTCCAGGTGTCTGAGAACCACCACAATGCCCAGTAGCTTGTGGGACGCTCATGGTCCTTGCTCATCAGTTGATGGTCAAATAGTGTTCTTTGACATGAGCATGCGTTTGTCTCCCAGGAAAATGGCACCTGGGCTTGAACTGTGAGTCCCCCAGTGACCACTGCCACCACCCCACCGCCCACGGATTCGACCACTTCTATGGAATGCCTTTCTCCATGATGGGCGATTGTGTGCACTTCGACATCTCTGAGAAGCGCGCAAGCCTGGAGCGCAGATTGTACTTTGGAGCCCAGTTCCTGGCTCTGGCTGTCCTCACACTGGCCGCTGGGAAGCTCAGTGGGCTGATTTCAGTGCCATGGTCACCGATTGTTGGGTCCACCCTTGCGGCGGTCCTGGTCGGCACCATGGCGTACTTTGCGGGTTCGCTGATCATCCACGCTGACTGCTTCCTCATGAGGAATCACTCCATCACTGAGCAGCCGATGCGTGTTCAGAGAATCACGCCTCTCCTCCTTCAGGAAGTCGCGGATTTTATCAAAAGGTGAGCACCGAGTTGACCCCCGTGGTGATAGATAATACATCCCAAGTATGAGAGCCAAAGCCTCCCCATCCTGACTTCCAAGGAACACTCTGGCTGCATTTCTTCCAACACAGATCTGTTTATTTTCTGGAAGTCCATGGTACTTTCAATATTCTTCTCTAACCGCGTGTACGACAGACATTTGTTGGTTCGTCCTACACTGTCTTCCCAATCTTCGACATGCTGGAATCTGTCATTGTGCCGACTGTATACTTTGAGTCCCTTCAAGCTAGGGCACATCTAGTTCTATAGCAGACAACACGATTCTGTTTTGGTTACAACCCTCTTGAATCAATGTCCCGGTCACCTTGGGTCCCATTGAACATGTATAACCAAGCAAAACCTAAACCAAACCCATTGCCATAGAGTTGATTCTGGCTCACAGCAATCCTATGATGTTTTTGTTGAGTGTTGTCAAGTTGTTTCTGAATCATAGCAACCCTGTAAAGGGTTTCCCAGGAGCACTTGGTGAGTTTAAACTGACAACCTTGCAGTTTGCAATCATGTGCTGATCCTACATCGCCATACCAGGGAAACTGCTCCGTAGGATTTCCTCATCTGAAATCCTTATGGGATGAGATTGCCAGGTCTTTCTTCTGCGGAATGGATGGTGAGTTCAAACCATAGATATTTCAGTGAGCAATTAAGCCATTTGCCGTGGCAACACGAGGACTCCGCCCTCTCTCCTAAACAAAGCCAAACCAAACTCACTGGGTGTTTACTTGAATCTGACTCACAGAGCCACCTCAGGACAGAGCAGAGCTGCCCAGATGGCTTCCACAGCTGCAAACTTTACAGAATCAAGGCAGCCACTTCTTTCTTCCATGGGACATTCAAGCTGTGTTACATCCAAGACAGATGTGTTCAGTCTTTTTTCTTTTTTTTTTAAGTTTTTATTGTGAATTGAGTGAAAGTTTACAGGGCAGATCAACAGTTTTACATTCAACAAATCATATACTTTGTTTTATTACAATGATTATAATCCCCGCCATGTACCATCTGTTAACAGTATTTCCTTTTGTTCACTTTAACTCTTTTTTAAAAACATTCAGGCATATATAATAATTTATACCACCAAAGGGCACATTCTGCAAGCCTGCCTCCTGGCCGCCAGCTCTCAGCCCCTGTCTTTCCATGAATCTTGCAAGCCTGCCTCCTGGCCACCAGCTCTCAGTCCCTCTCTTTCCATGAGTCTAGAGGCCTCAGCTGCTCCCTCTCTCCATGTCCTCATCTCATTGTTTCATTGCAATGATTACAATCCCCTCTGGGCATCATCATTCAACAGTATTTGCTTCTATTCCCTCTGGGGTTTTTTGTTTGTTTGTTTCTGTTTTGGGGGGAGGTGGGAATGTACACAAAAATACTCAGGAATATATAATCATTTAAACAACCAAAGGGCATGCTCTGCAAGCCTGCCTCCTGGCTGCCAGCACCCAGTCCCTCTCTTTTCCTGAGTCTAGAGTCCTCAGCTGCTCCCTCTCTCCATGTCCTCATCTCTGCCTCCATCTCTGGTGTCACTGCTACTCTAGTTAGGGTCCCACATTCCGCTCATGCTCTTCTCCCTTGATGGTCCTAGGGGCCTCTGTTCCTGGACTGTAAATTTAACTACAGATGTGTTCATTCTTTTCACAGCTTTTTGTACCACCATTCGAACGCATCTGAATCTTCTTCATGGTCTCTCTTCTTACTCCTTTTTTATTTTGCTTGGATTTCTTTTGTCCCTTGTTTTATTTGTCTATTTGGTGAACATGAGAACAGCAAAACATACAGCCATTCGACCACCTCTCCATGTTCGGTTCTTTGATAATGATTTCAGTCCCAGCCTTCTACTACTGTTCTCAATATCCTTTTCCTATTGTTTGTGTTTATTTTTAGGAATAAGGGAGGTCCTTTCTTGCTTTTTGTCTCCTTCTTACATGCTCACATTCCCCTTGTGACTACCAAGCCCTTCCTGGGGAGGAGCCTTCATGGGCTGTATGGAGACAACATAGAGGAGATGGATTGGATGGTAGGTAAGCATCTTCTCCCTGAGGGAGATGGGAGTTCTCCCTACACTGGGTGGGACAGAGGACAGGGAGGTGGGTGGGTGTTCAATACCACATAAGCATTACAACCAGACCGCATCCGAAGGGCTACAGTATCAGAACCGACAGGTGTTCCTCTACGTACCGCGGTTTGCTCTGTGACATCTTGCGGATGGTACCACCTTGTTTTCCCAAACTGAAGGTTTGTGGGGAGCCATGCTGGTGGTGCAATGAGCAAAGCATGGGACTGCTCATGGCAAGGTTGGCGGTTCAAACCCACCTGCTCTTTGTTTCCTTGTTAGAATTTATTAGGCGCATGTGGTGGCTCCATACGATAAGCGCCGGTCTGTGAAGCACAGGTTAACAATTTGAGCCCACCATCCGCTCCACAGGAGGAAGATGAGGCTTTCTGCTCCTGCAATGATTTCAAAGCCTCGCAAATCCAATACAGGGTCTCTGTGAGTCAGAATCAGCTCAACAGCACTTAACAACAACAACAACAACTGTGCTCCCACAGAGCTTTACAGCACCAGAACCCCTGGGAATCAGAAACACTGCTACTCTCTCCTGTGGGGTCTCTGGGAACCACACTCGATGGCACTGGATTTGGGATGAGATTTGGTCCTTTTCTCTTATTCCCATGAGACAAGCAATGCTCCCCCATAAACTTGGATTTCACACTGCACTACCAGGTCACTATGAGTTGGAACCAACTCCACGGTACTTAACAACAACAACAACAACCAGGAGGTAAAGATGACGACCATGGAAACCCTATGGGGCAATGCTCCCCATCCTTCAGGGTCACTCCGACTCGGAGTCGATTTGATGGCAGTGGATGGACCATGCGGGACTGAGGAAGTTATCAGGGCTGGTTTTCCAACAGTGTGAGCTGACCTCCCTTCTTTGTGTTCCATTCTGCTCACTCTTGCATATTTCACACCTTTTCAGAATGTCCTGGTGCGGCACTGTGGGGTAAAGCGTTGGGCCGCAAGGTCAGTTTGAACCACAAGGTTGGCAGTTCAAACTCACCAGCCACTCCTCGGAAACCCCTACACAGGGTTGATATGAGTCCAAACCAACTTGATGGCACCTAACAGCTTAACTGGGGCCGGACCTGTAACACATTTGAGATTTGCCTATGTTGTTGTCATTGTTGTTGTTGAGTGCCATCAAGTCTGTGGTGTACAATGAAGACTGGATGACTAACCCACCAGCCACATCTCGTAAGCCCTATACAAGGTCAGTATGAGTCGGAAACGTAACAACAAAGCCCTACAGCTCCAGGCTCCAACACTGACAAGAATAAAGCGACTGTGTCTTCCATAGAAGGAACACTAATTCAGAAGTGGATGGTTCTGGACTCACTCCACACCTGGTGACCTAAGGCTATTTGTGTTCCTTCAGCTGCCAGACATGAGAAAGTCTACATTCTCCAGAAGAAGAAAAAAAAATGAAACAGTTTCAGCCCTCACTGTTCTTCTGAACAAGAAAAGGTAAAAACATTCACTGCGCTGTCCATCCAGTAGACAAGCTAAAATGTGAATCAGGTTACTGAGCAGGACCAATCCTCTCC